ACGAAATGTTTCTGTTGTATTTTCATGTTCCACTGGGCTGGGAAAGCAGGAAAGGATCCCTCTGCCAAGCCTTCAAATGGACTGATCTTTGCTGATATCAAAGTGTCATCCTCAGATTCTCTTTCCTACCTCCTTTCCCCTTTTATAGCTTTTCATATCAGTATGTTACCTCTGAAATCCTTGAGCTGCTAACCGTTTTACTTTTAAGAGAGAATAATAAAAATTGACTTGTATAATGGGGCAACTATGAAAAAGCAGGTAAATTGTGTTACTCTGAATTCATTATACTTCCCTGTCCATAGCACCAGTAGTAAATTTACATGGAATTTTAAGGGAGTAAAAATAAGTATTTGCATAATGCAGCTGATAAATGACAATTTTAGGATAAATGGAAAAAAAAAATATATTATTGAAATAGAATACTTAAGTGAGTCCTTGACCACTTTACATTGATTTCTGTGAAGATCAGCACATTATTCTGCATAAAGTACAAAGCTGCCCAATTAGTTAGTTATATTGCAGTTGTGGAAGAGTAATGAAGATTCATGTTCTGCCAAAACTTTGGTGGTTTCTTCCAGCATCAGAGAGTTCAGTAGAACACTAGTGTGATTTAATATTTAGAAACATAAATACTTTATTTTCTGTGATCAATGAAGAGTTTAATGCTTTAATGGTAGTATTAGTAAGAGATCAGTTACTGCAGAAAATGTTGTAATTATGGTAAAACAAAGGGACACAATAATAGAAAGCAAAGCATCAAACTAAAAACAGCTCCCTATGTGAAAAGTGGGAACCGAGTCAGATTCCTGATTTTAAGAAATTCCTTAGGAAACATTCTGCTATCCTAGACAAGAAAATCAGATAGTCTTTAGAATGAACATTTTCCTAGAGGGCAACAGTGAACAAAATGTTCATAAGGAAACAACACAGTGGGAGGATTAAATTTCACAAGTAACGTATGTTGTTCTTAATGCATAACATTATGACTTCAGGTGCTTTATACATCCAGATGGGGAGAAAGCTCCTTTTTTGCTCCTGAAATATGCTTGGTTTTGGCCTTTCTTGATTTACTTTTTTCTTTTAGTTGCTGTGTTGGGTTTTTTTTTCCTTTCCTCTCCCTCTGTATTTGCTTTTGCCTGTGATACCATCTTGTGATTCCTTCTGAAATTAAGGCCAACTTTTCTTTAAATTGAAGCTGGCAAGAAGCTGTTATCATGTTTCTAAATTGTTTGCCTATTCTCTGGTAATTTCTGTTAGAAAGATCTCAAAAGTGGTTTTACTTCACTTAATGGTATTCAAACTACATGATTTTATAAACCTAGCAATTGCTTTAAGGAAACAAGTGTTTGGAGAAGTTTTAGTGCAGAATAAGTGATGGCCTTAGCATTCATAATTTCAGAAACTCCAAACCATTTTTCATAGTAATCTGAAGTCAAATCTAACATGGCTCACAGGTGGATTGCATGCCCTTATGAAATTCCAAGATTTGTATCTCATGAATAGTTATTTTCTCTTTTCCCATCTTATTTTACCTCTTTTTAGAAGAAAACGCTGAGCTTTACAGTAAAGAAAATAATCGTTGTATAGAAAAAAAAATCTTTTGTGGAGCGGAATATCTTTAAACCTGTGCTTCCAGCAAAAGGAGTGGGTATGCTGTATTCTATACATGTCTTTGCATTTTTAGTAGACTAGAAATTCTATTAGGAGCTGTAGACGTGAGAAGTTTCCATAGGTTAAACCAGAACTCAGTAAAAGCAGCGCGATGTCATTCAGGGTCGCGCCCTCGGCCCGTGGATCCGGCTGGGCTGGAACCCGCCGGGCCGCCAGCAGGGGGCACGCTGGGAGCGGCCGGGGCGCCGCCGGTGCCGCCTCCCGGGCGGGAGGTGCGGGGGGGCCGCGGTGCAGCTCTGCGGCTGAACGCAGCCGGCGGGGCTTCAGGGAGATTGACTGCAGAGATTGCCCTTCTACTCAGTCCCACTTTTCACACGCACCCCAATCTGGACATCTCTGACTATTGCAGAATACTGTGATTTAAGAACTGGTTGATTAGATGTACGTTATATATATTCATTAGACTAAAGAATGGACAGTTACTGCCTTTCTGTAATGAAAGGGAAAAAATGTCCATCCTTTAAGCAGACTGGGGAGGTGGGGAACGTGAGAGAGAGTTTAATTCTCTCACAACTTTTCCAACTTTCGGGCTGAAATCCATCATGAAATATAAATTACTTCTAAGTTGTTCCATCAGTTTATAATTATCATCATTTCAATATAAGGATTAAACAATATAAGTAGTTGAATAATATCTATTAGTTATATGTTATTTGACACTGTTTTTATAAAATAGTGATAGAAATTATTGAAATATTTTCACTGGACAGACTTTTATTTCTATCATCTCTGAAACTCATAGTCACATAATTCTGAAAACAGGCAGACAGAATAGCTGTTGTCTTCGTGAAGACTTATAGCTGCTTATTGGGGTTTTTGTTTGGGGTGTGATGATTTTGGTGGGGTTTTGTTGGTTTTCTCCCTTAAGATGCAGGGATTGACTAAGATTGTATAACAGATTGCAACATGTATTTCTTCTATTCCTTCTACCTGTGGAAGTTATATCATAAACACTGTGTTTGTGAAGAACAATACATGTGAACCCTTAAAGGTGTGGTTCTTTAAGGCCAGCTTCATGAACATGTAAGGTTAGCGGCAAGTAATCACAAAAATGCAAATGCCCCATATGTGCAAGCTGCTCCTTTGTGTTAGTTTATTGAAGGTTGACGTGGATGCCTTTTCAAGATGCACAGTAGTGTCATTCCAGTCATTGCTTACAAGTATCTGGGCTACCATAATTGTGAGAATTTTAGCTATAGTGCAGAATGAAAACCTCTGCTTGTATATTTACTATAGAAAGTTCTTAACATCCGATCTATGTAAGGATCATGTGGACAGAGGTATAACAAAACTTTGTTGTGAAGATGAATTTTAGTAACTCCAGTTGTAAGTAATTAATATGTATTTCATGTATTTATACATGAAACTAGATTCTTGATTGGTCAATATCATTACAAGCAAAATCAGCATTTTTCTGGCTTAGGCAAGATCTACACAGAATTTTAATTCCAGCGTAGATAAGTCATAATGGATTCTGAAGGTCTTTGGATTGTTTGTTTGGTTTTTTTTTTTGTTTGGTTTGGTTTGGGGTTTCCTTCTTAAATAACAGTTGAATGATATTTTTGGCAGAGCAAAATTCCCTGCTTATGCTCAGCTATCAAATTAAGTGTCCTCAAAATGAAACATTCAACATCTGGTAATATGACAGTATAAACAGGGTTAATACTTAGGAACTTGCCTGCAAATGACAACACGTTATTTGCAAACTTTTTTTTTTTGTTAAATGACAACATCTTAAATTTTAGTAGAACATTCCTAATAATTACTGTCTTTACTGTCTGTAGTCTCAAGATCATTTGCTTAATCTTGATAAAAAACTAATTTATTTCTGTTGTAAGTGTGTATCTACTGTGGGTGGTCATGCTTGATTAGGCTGCGTGATTGTTCTTTGGTTTTTTCTCTTTTTTAATCCATACATGAACAGTTCTGTTAGTTTTGAGAGGCATTGTTGTTATGTTACATCTCACATAATTAGGACTGTATCACTGAGTACTGGCATCAGTGGAATATTTCCTATTGTGCACTTACATAAAAGTTTTATTGTATTCTTTGTTGGCATGCAACATGGCAGATTTGAAGCATCAGTTTGTTTAACCTTAGACAGAATATTAAGTAATTGCCACAGGCTAATAAGTACAATAAGATTTGAATAATGAAGCATTCATTGATCTGGTTCTTAACTATAAATCTAATTAATGGAATATTTATAGGTTGCATTCATTTCAGCAGGATATAATAAATATGATGGTCCATAATTATTTTTACAATGATATACCAAAAAATCCAAAATATTAATTTTGCCACTGTATGTAAGAGATTTTCTTCTAGAACTGCTACATTTATAAATTGTACGTAAACAACATTGTATCCCAAGATCTCATTGCTAACAATAATACAATGATTGCAGAAAGTGAAAGCTACAACCAATAAGCTTTAAATAAGCATTACTAGGAATTGTTAAATACTTTTAAGTGCTACATTTTTTTTGAAGTATCCTTAATATATTTTTGAAGTGAATAACTGAATTACAAGCTTATCTGTTACGAATGTGTTAGCTATTACCAGAAAGTCCAAAGTTTTGGAGTTTTTATACAGGAAACATATAATTTGCTGGTTGAAAACTTAGTATTTTATATGGCATTTCAGCACCAAGATACAAGGGAATAATAGTATACCTGTGATTTTATTCATGTAAATGTTTTGTGAAACTTTTACAAGTTTAGAGTTAGATTACGTGTATATTTTGTATGTAGAATGGTTTTATATAGGGTCATTCTGGGTGTATATCTGTAGTTCTTCATGTGTTAGAGTTTTAAATATATCTTCAATTACATTTAAGGCTGAACGTGGCCTTACACTGTTAAATCATTTAACGTTTGAAAAAACACCCATTGTATTCTGTACAGAATAATTTGCTTACAGCATGCACAATAATAATCCATTCTGCTATTTGAATCCTAGTAAAACAAGGACTGAGTTCTACTGTCTACATATTAATTGGGAAGGAACAAAATATTTTTCACAGAAAAAAGAATTTATGTTTCTTGTTATCTGCAGCATAATCATGGAATGATAATAATTATGAATCTATTCAGCAGATTCATTACCAGAAATCTTCAGCTGTTGAAGAAAGGACTGCTGAAAGAAATAGCTGTATAGTTGTTTCTCTGGGTCATGTCAGACTGATAAATAAAAGGTTAGGTAAAACATGTCCCTCCCAAGCAAGAGATCCTATCTCATGCTGTTATCCTTGTGGCCACTGATGCACCTGCTAGCTCTCATGATGCACTGCATGTGCTGTTTCTGTGAGCAAGGGCTCTCAATAAGCCTGTTTTACTCTCTCTGTGAAGCAGAGGGGCTGCCTTCCACGCAGGAGGGCTGTGGCTATTGCAGCGAATACTGCATTCAGAAGCGGTGACAGGAGAAAACAGCAACGGATGAAGTTACCAGCACATAAAACACCAGGATGATTACTGTTCTCTCATGTTGATGTTGTATTTGAGCAGGAGTAGGACACTGACTCCCGTTTCGCTATTACAGAGGAGAAATAAAGCTGAGCTGCAGAATGAATTAGTAGCTAACACCATGATTACTCTCGGCTGTTAGCACAAGTTGTAGGAGGGGGGGAAAAAACAGAAGAGGGAGTAAAAAAAAAAAACACAAAACAACGATTTAATGCTGCCTAGGGAATACGGTGGAATTTAGAACAGATACCATTGCGGACTAACAGCATGCCTGATTGCACTTGAGTTGAATCACTGAGAAGCAGCCTCATGTTTTGTTGTACCGTTTTTAAAGCTGAAGGAAGAATGGCAAAATAATAATGGAGTTGTGTACAGTGTTTCTGCATAAATGGGAAAGAATATAAAGATGGTGGTATGTAATTTGTGTTTTATTTTACGAAGAATTGAATCCAGGTATGTATTCTCTTTGTATTTTTGTATCTAGTCTACATACATTTTTCTGTTTCCTTTGTTTCCTTCCCTTATTTTCATTCTGAATGTACCTCCTGCTGCTCTAGCTAATGCAATGCATTGATTTGTAACTGATTTGCTTTCTAATGCTATGATGTTGATGAAACTGTCTGGGCTTATGGACTTCAGAATCAACACTTCATTAAAAAGTGGGGGGGTTATTTTGTAATGTTGGTAAGTTCACAATATAAGTTGAGTAAGATAGTATAGTCTTTTATTTCACAATTAATTGGAACATTTTAATTGGTGTAAAAAGATAAACAATTTAGATATATGAATAGATGCTGAAAATATAATATGTTTTGCTTATATCTGCTAGTACTTTTTTCCTGCTCTTGATAGGATTAGTAATAAATTGAGCTTTATAGATGCTTATGTATTTCTGGGTCTTGATTAATCTTCAAGATGAACACCCTGCAGCTTTCTTTCGAAGAGGCAGCTTGCTTAGAATACATGCTTGATTCTGTTCCACAGCTAAACCTATGTGTTAAGTACCCTCTCTCATGAACCTCCCCCAATCCATAACCTAAAAAACCCCATAGCTATTTAATACTTTTTTGTCCATCCTTTTGGGTTTAAGAAGATAACATTAGTAATTTTGCCTCTTGCAATTCTAGAGGCCAAGTAATAGTAGCTGAAAGTAATTTTTTACTATGATGGTTCATTTTGCTTTAAGAGGAAGAATTATGATGATATAAATATCTGACTGTATTCATTAGCCCCCAACTTTAGTCATCAAGGTCCTATTGCATTTTTTTGTCTTATTAACAATATTTTTTTTCAACAGACTACTGATTGTATGTATTAAGTGAAATTGAACATAAAGCTATGTGCCCTTAAACTAAGGACGTTAATAGTTGTCTTATAATGTCTAGTAAAAATGTATTAAAAATATTTAAGATGTTAAAAATAATGCTCATCTCATTGTTCAGTAGTTCTTAAATCTCTTAAAATATTCTGTTGCATTTTAATTTGGATGCAACCCAGTTTTAAGTAAGATATCTTTTTATAACATGTTGATACAAAAAGGGTTAATATCAATTCCAGCATCTTAATACTGATGTTAACCCTTGGCTGACAGGAATTCTTGTGCCTTAGAAGTATTCATTGGTATAACATAATTTAGTTGCTTTCTGATGTGAAAATAAACTCTAATCATAAAGTTGAAGTTATTTTTCACAGAGGCGGTGATAAAATGATTGTTTCCTGAATGAAGCGTCAGTGATTATATAAAATAAATGCCATTCAGTGTAATATCCAACTATGATTTGGCAATTGAAAATGTAAGTTTACGTGACATATTTGAGTTTTCTAAAAATCGGTGCTAACTCTTACCATATAAATCAACATACTGAGAAAAGTGCTGAGAGAATGCTGTTGAGTCTAAAAGCATTAAGAATGAGCGAAAAGTAGATTTAAGGTTAACACATCTTTTGTTCATAATAAATTACTTTTGTAAAGGATATTATGATAAAAATTATGGTCAACTGTAATCTCAAAAGACCTTTCATATAGAAAGAAGTCATGATGCAAGATAAGTGAGGTTTTTTTCAGTGGAATTTACACAACCTGAAGAGAGTTGTATAAAGATTTTCTGTCAGTGTACCATTTGCTTGATCCTGCAGTGATGTCAGCACAACATTGTTGTAACGACTATATATTGCTGTGGAAACACTTAGGAAATCACAGGTGAAGTACTGGGATTCCAGAGTATTATCAAGGAGGAAAAGCCTGATACCTTAATGAATTAGGAGATATTCTGAGCTATTGAGGAGGAACTGAAAATTCCAGATTTTCTTTGAACTGTGGTGGTGTGAAAATCTAGGAAGAATGAAGTAGTATAGTAGAGTCTGCCTTTTGACACCATTACAGTAAAACAGAAGCTCTGAAGCAAAAAATTCTTTGGCACCTAAGAAGGTTCTTGTATGAGTTTTCTTTTTCTCATCTTACCTGTGTCATTCGATTAGGTTGATAGCTCTAAAGCACAGGTCCTTTCTTTCAGTAGAAATCTAAGTATCACTCCATAGCTATCAGTATATTGAAGCAAAGAAAGCAGAGAATTTTTTCATTATAATTTTTTTTGTAGCAAATTTAAAATTGTTTAATATCTACCCTTTTTATCAATGAATGTAATTTAAGGTGTTCAGCAAGCATGGCTCCTGTCTGTGTTTGCCTACTCATCCTAGTGCATGTTGTTGTCAACAGTAGTTGTAGTGGTTTGTGCTTGTGACATTTTTCGAATGTAAATGTCACAGATTATTGCTAGCATTTATTGAACAAAAGACCTCTTTATAAAAACTGTCCATTTCATACTTTTGGGTTCTAAACATTGAATGGAATTATTAGTTAACTATGTTCTAGAAAACATTTAAACCCTTTTTGTGGGTGAAGGATGGAATCCTGAGGGCTTACAAGTAACACTTTGCTCATTTAAAGTTGTTTCTTTAATTTAAACATTTCACAGAAAACTTTTTGTAAGTTGTTTAAACACCCCACTACTCCAAAACCGCCCAAGAAACAAACAAAAATTACATCACTCTAAAATAATCTGTGTTATATAGTTAGGTAGTGCACGCATGGTCACAGACGCCATGGCAGTCTCTGTCCAAAAGAGATGTAATTCGGGGCAGAGAATTGCCCGTGCCAAGGCTCGGGACAGTACAATTAGAGGATTAAAATTCTGTACTTGGGAAAAAAATTGAGAGATTTTTTTTTTCTATTTTCTGATGGAATGATTCTTGAGATTGTCTAAAGTTGCTGAAAAGTTTGAAATGGTAGCATTATATGAGACTTTGAATGTACACTCAGTGTACTGTAAATATATCCTCTGTGTATGTGTTATGCTTCAGAGCAAAGTGGCTCTCAGTATAATGCTCTGAAGAAAACTTCTAATTAAAATACAAAATTAAGGAGAGAGCTGAGATTTGGGCAAATGCATGTTGAAGCTTTCTATTTTTTAAAGGCATTAAACAGGTTCTGATTATTCTGTATTCCATACAGTAAGTCTTTTGTATACTTGTGGTTATCTGACAATAGCATGCATGTAATAGTCTAACCCATACTTCGAAGCTAATATGCCTGGTACTAACTTAGTAATAAAATTATCCCCATATTGTCAGCAAATAACTTTTCTTTCTCCAGGTTTTCCATTCCTTCTGTAGCCTGCATTTAAATAGGAATAGGCTATTAAATGGAATTAGCTCTAATTCTTAGCAGTTTTTGAAATGAGAGTATTGACTAAAAATAAGTTAATGTAGGACAGTGTTACATCATATATGCAGCTGTAGAAGTGGGGGAAAGGACTCTCAGGTCCACTATTGCCACCTTGTTCATGCATTACAGTCTTTTTTTTCTTCTTTTCATGTAAGAAGTTCAGGAAACAACTAGAAACATTAAAGAAAATAGGTTAGTACATTTAGCCAAGTAACATTGAAGCTGTGTTCCAAATCATCCACAGTCTCCTAACTCTTGTGTATATTAACATACTTAATGACAGTATGCTAAGCTACCTACTGCTCTCCAAGTGGAGCACATTTGAACTTTAGGAATCTGTTCAACAGCTCTTTACATTTAAGTATTAATCTACTATATTTGGCAGATCCTTTCCTTTTGTTTTTAGTTCCAAAGTGATTGTTCATTAAGGACAATAGCTTCAAATATAATCTTCATATGTTCTAAAGAAATAAGCAATGTTCTAAATGTTTTCAACAATGTTATTAGTAGTTCATAAATAATTGATTGGCAACTTTAGCCTCACAGATGCTGTAACACAACGTCAGAAGAATGCAAATATTACAAATACAAAGGTGCAGAGAATAGTGTAACTAAAAAAGCAAGAAAAATTATTGCAAAATGCGAGTTTTTATTTTTTTCAACTCATGTCTGTGTTCAACAGTGATCAAGGAAAAAACATCTTTGACTGTGGAAAAAAAAAAAATTCTTCTCTTTTCCCGTAGTGGTCGTAACAGTAGGGAAGCAATGAAGACAGCTTTTGTCTCCAGAATTGCTCATCCTAGCTAGTTGGGAATTTACATTTTGTTCTAAGTGGTCCTGAAGACAATATGCTTCTATATATTATGAAGTAGAAGCAAGTAACTCTTAAACAACTGAGTTAATTCACTAATATGCAAAGTTCTATATATGGCTTCTGTTTCAGACACTGTTCTAAATCACAATGAGCCAAAGTAATTTTTAGCATGTGCTACTTGCATTTGTTGTTATCCTTAAACCTGATTAAGTCGTATCCTGAAAGAACAGGTAAGTCAAGTAACAGCTATGAGTGACTAGTCTTGCAGTATGATTGTTTAATAGTTAGATTCTATACTGTACTTGAAGAGCGAGCTCTTCAGGACAGCAGTAGGCCTTGTGGGTTAAAAAATAAGCAGATTTTAGTCTCTGTAGACTGGGGTTTGAAACAGCAGTTTGGCGGTCAGTTGTATTGGTAACACTACCCATAAATAGGAAGACAACATGTTTGATGGTGGTTAGATACATTAATAGCAGGATCCATAAGGAAATATCACCATATATATCTAGGCAGATATAGTGGACTTTCCATATTGTGTTGATGGAGAATAGGAATAGGTTTCTAGCCAAAAGTAGAGAGTGCTGATAACATTCCATTTTCTCATGTGAATGTTGGAGGGGGTGATAGGATAGGGCAAAACTCAGCTGGTGAAAACCTGAGGAATTCCCAGAACAAAAAGTTAATTATCCAAAAGAGAAAGCAGAACTACTTTTTTGCTGTTGTCCTTGTCTTTGCCAGGGTCTGCAGCCAGGTCATGTTTGTAACATGCAGTACTGAGAGACTTGCCAAAAAAAAAGATCAAAAATGTATTTTAGAATATAAGGATAATTTAAGAAGAATATAAAGGAGCAAATAATTGTTCCAAATTCAGTTCTTCTGAATTAGGTCATCTGAGATGATTGTCAGTACAATGCTGCTGTTACAGTAAACTCATGAAGCAGTCTGGAGTATACACAGTTATGCTTGTCTAAAGAAAAGTAGCACAGGTTTCACCCAACAAACATACACTGGTGGTAGGTACAGTTATATCTGGATTCCCAGGTGACCATAAGATTAGTCAAAGGCTGTACTTGAGAAATCTCTAGATCTGAATTCTAATTGTTCTGTTATTGATTCCTTATGTTCCTGATGCTAAGAGAACCTCTCTTAGCCACAGTTTCTGTGGCTGCAAAGTAGATTGTTAACATTTTGTTTGCATGTGCAATTAATTAATTTCTGTGAAGCATTTCACACTTCACAAATAGATGTTGCTCTCTATAGGCAGTAATGAGTACTTTAGCAGTGTTGCAGAGTGGTATTGCTGCAGAAGAAGACTTTTTGGTTTAGTTTGTTTTCCCCTAGTGTCTTGGTGTTCTGAACGTAAATCACTATATGCCTTTTTACCGAGGGAGACTGCACTTTAGTCTCATTTTCTTCCCAATCTCCTTCCAATCCACACAGTCCCCTTGTAGTTGATTAATAGTGTAGAAGTGAAGCAGGGCTATGGTTCTGCCTGTTTCTTGCTTTTTTTGAGGAGACAGTCTGCATCTACAAAGCTACCTCTGACTGGAGAGGCTGCTGCTCTACAGCTTCATTTAGTGGTATTTGAACAGGTCAGCAGTGATCTAGCTATTCTTTTAAAATACTGAATTATTTTAAGACGATTCAGTTTTCTTCCTTTATAAAAATAGAGGGCTTGATTTGATAAAATAAAAAAATAAATGTTGGGAATCTGGTGTTCAGAAATGTAACTAAAATACACTGCTTGCACTATTTAAAAAGCTAATATTCTTAAAGCAGCCCACTCCACCCCCCTTCTACCTGACATGTTAGTTTTAGAGTTGAGAATAAGATCCTTTCTACCCGATGCCTGCAACTGACAAGTTTTATTTTGACAATGCTTTGTTATCAACAGTATCCTTGAAGTCAATCTAAATTACCTATTCACCATCAAGTTGATTGACGAAAGTCTATATTCACACTTGCTATAGGTAAAAAGTTGAAGGAAGTGGCATTATGTCATTTTTGTACAGAAGGAACCCTGTAATAGTAGATTTTATTTCTATTCTCACAATCCATAACGCTTCCAGTTTCCTGCTCTATAATCGCCTAGCATAAAGTCTGTGCTGCTGTAATACTTCAACTTGATTCCTTATGCATAGAATGGGTTAACCCATCTGTGTTCAACTTTATCATATAAATTTATCTTAGGAAATAAACAAGCAAAGTGAAAATAAAAAATGAGTTCATGATGGTTTATTTGGAGATCTGGATAAATCCAGAACATCACTGAATGACAACTTGCAACTCATTCAAATAATTGACTTAGTCCTACGTGCTTCTCAAAAGACTGTTCCTTATTTCCTTGAGTTTTAACCTACACTGATTTAAAATGTTAAGAACCCAATGCAAATTTCTACAAAAAGAAATGGATGAGACCTGTAATGACTCAAGCTTGATTCTGTGTATAGATATAGAATTTTAGAAAATGAGTATTTGACAGAGCAATGGCAGGCTGTAAGCTGATGAGCAGATCATATGACTAATATTACTGAGATGGAACGCAACTCGCATGAGAGAACATAAGTCTGCTCTATTTAGCAGATCTGTGTGTGTTTGTAACAGCACAACTTTTACTATGGCATTGTCAGACACTAGGTTTAAATAAATCGAATACTCAATTTGCAGCTATTTATAATAATTTCAGTTATCTCTGTTAAAAAACATAGGTTAGGCATTGGATAACACATCTCTAGGGCTGGCTGTGAAATCGAGATTCTTGTACAAAGAATTAAACCTTATTTAAATGAATGGAAATGTTCCAGATTCCAATGATAACTTCATTATTTCTTGATATTTTGTAGACTGAGTCAGTAAACAAGCCTTCTAGCTTTTTTATATGCTGTTGGTTTAAAGTCTTTTCAATGAGAAGAATGTCCATGTCCTCTGAGTGAAGCTTATAAGAGGGCACTTAAAAATCTATGATTGTGTGGGCAGAGGAGGCAGGCAGTCACACTTCAGATCTTTTTCAACAAATGGTTACAAACCTATATTGTAAGAGCTGAATGGTTAACAAATGTTTCTACATCTAGAAACATGCCTCTGATATTTAAGTGTGTCCCAGGATGGTTCCTTCCTCTACCAGTAATATGTGAAAACAAGGCAACCTTGGCTCTAGTGAGAGCTTTGTAATATTCTGAGATGCCATTTGCATGCTTTGAAAATTGCATGCAGTCTCACTGAGCACTCTTTTGTTTCCAAACATTTCTTAATTCACTCTTAATACTTTGACTTCAGATGTAAGCCTGGAAGAAATAGATATCACAAGAGCTGAACTGATGTGTGTATGTTAAAAACGTGCTTCACGTTTCACAAATATTTCACCTTTTATATAATATCAGGCAGCAACATTAGGAAGGATGAAGAATGTTGGCTATTCTTGCTCTGCTCACTCTTGTGCTGTATCCCTTTTATAACTGGAAAAGAAATGTCTGTTTACATCCTCTGTTCCAGGATTCCAGAAGCCAACGAGGCTTTTACGGGCTTTGCTTGGGCTATATTCAACATGGTGCATTTTGCTGCTTCAGTATGAATCAGTAGCTAGTGTTTATTGTTGACCATAACAAGACTATAATAGTAAGGTCAGTGAAGACAAACTCTGTAATGAAAAGACCAGATCTTGAGCTGGATGAGGGGATCATCGTGTTTCATACAGTTCCATGCTATTTGCAGACAAGGAGGACTTTTTTATTCCTAAGACACCACAGAGCAAGTTTTCTTATACCCTGTATCTAAATACGCTTCTTATTCTGCCAAAGAATTTTTAGCTGATGTAGAAACTGAAATGTCCATTTTAAGAACCACTTTGTTGGATTTTTCTCTGAGCTATTTGTCTTGTTTTTATTCTGCACATACAACACTGGGAGGTGAATGATATGCTAACAAAAAAGTACATGTATATGTTTAAAATGCATTGACTATGGAATTTTACGGAATAGAAGCTTCCAGATAACTGATGAAATGTTTTCTTACTCTTCCGTATTTTAAATCTTGTTTTAATGGACCTGGTTTTGTGCTGAGACTTGTAAATCATATTTGATTTTTGAGGGTTTTTCCCTCTTCCTCTTGTTTTGTGTAGGTTTTGTTTGGTTTTTTTTCTGTGACGAGAATGATGTAAGACTTAGTAACCTGTATGAGAATGTCCCATCAGTTGTCATTATGATTTTCTGTTATTTTCTATATTTTTTTTCTTCTTAAAGAAGAGAAACTGAGGCATGCCCACTTTTAGTCCTGGCTTACCATAACATGTGTTTAAGTCTGGTATAAAGAGAAAGCATCTATTTCTCAAACCATAGTCATGTGCATAATTCAATCTCAAGACAGAACAGTACTTTGTGAATACAATGCTGATTTGTTGCACAGAATTCTACCTTGCTCCAGAGATGAACAAAGACAGACCTTTGTGCTTCTATTTTACTAGCTAGTAGCAACTTGTTTGCCTGACGTTTTTCTGACCACTAATTTCCACTCTAAATTGAAATGTCATTACTCTGAAAGAAAGCAGGCAGCATGAATACGAAATATCTCAGCTGAAGTCAGAAAATTAAACTGAGAAGTTTAAAAGAAGCCTGTAAATAAGTATAGCTTATTCATTTACGTTAAAAATATTTGCCTATAATTGCTTTCAGCTTCAATTGTTCATGAAAAATTATATTGAGACAGTTATGGGAAAGTATAAATAAATACTTAACTGCTCTATGTTTCCATTGTAACCCAGTTAAAACAACATCATATTATTGAATGATAAGTTTGTTTGTTAGCCATTGTAATGTCATTCCCTTCTTTTTAGACGCTTCAGGAAGCCATGCGCAACAGAGTGAAATTTTGCAAGACATACAAAACCCCTTCAGGATTTGGTTTCAAACAAGCAGATGTGTGATTATTTTTTTATTTTTTTTTCTGCTGCCAAATGGTACCAGAGCATCATTAGTTTATATGTCTATAGTCTCTGTTGATGAAATATTTGCTGATGATCCATGATCCTTTTGGAGATACAAATACCTGTCTGGAACAAAAACTGTGTTTTGTGGAAACAGCTTAATATAAATTGCACTCCATGGTTTCTGCCCTCCTAAAGAGCCTGATCTCATCTTACTTATATAAGATTTGCAAAGGAATGTTTACAAAGAAATCGGGAAATAGTACAAAAAGGAAAGAGAGTTGTCAGAGCAAAAAGGAACAAGACTTAACACAGATTGGACAAACAAAGAATCCAAAATTTTCAAATACTATAAAAAGCACTGTTAAAAAGATTGCCAAGTGTCCGTCTGCTCGCAACTTATCAACTGAAGAAGAGGAAAGTAATAGAGAATTTTCACTTTCTCCAACATTCAGTTACAGAGTTGCTATTGCCAATGGACTGCAAAAGCATATTTTTGTAACAAACAGTAATGATGAAGATATAGTTCAAGATCTGTCTTCAAATGACAGTTCATATTCTGAGTCGTTAAGTGAAGTAAAAAGTAATAGCAAGAAAAACGAATACTTATCACACACAATGCCTGTGAGACGCAACAGAAAAAGCTTAAGCAGCCTCGCGCCATCTGATGGAAGTTCTGATGGAGAACGCACTTTACACACACTGAAGCTGGGAGCTTTACGAAAACTAAGGAAATGGAAGAAGAGCCAAGAATTTGTCTCGTCAGACTCAGAACTAAGTACATGGAAGAAAACATGGGGCTTAAGAAGTAAATCTCTAGACAGAACTGGCCGTCACCAGAAATCAAATACGCTTGAACCTGGCTTTAGTTCAACGGGTTGTATTAGTCAAACCCATGATGTTATGGAAATGATCTTTAAAGAGCTTCAGGGAATAAGTCAAATTGAAACAGAACTCTCAGAGTTAAGAGGACACGTTAATGCTCTGAAACAATCAATTGATGAAATTTCTAGTAGCGTAGAAGTTGTACAAAATGAAATTGAACAATTGCGAACAGGATTTGTACAGTCCAGAAGAGAAACTCGGGACATACATGACTACATTAAGCAGATAGGCCATCCAGGAAACAAAGCAAGTCTTAGGTTTCTAAATGTGCCTGAAGAGAGGCTCGAAAAAACTGAAAACATAGTTTACAAAATATTAATAGATAAAATGGGGTTCTCAGAGGCACAAAGCACTATTAAAATTGAGTTTGCCCAAAGACTGGGGCAGCAAAGAGACTGTCCAAATGCAAAACCAAGACCCATTCTTGTTTACTTTGAGTCATCGCAACAGAGAGATTTGATTTTAAAAAAGTCGTATAAACTTAAGGGGACTGGCATTGGAGTTTCTACAGATATATTTTCCCATGACATAAAAGACAAAAAAGAAAGACTACCTTCCTCTCAGACATATGAGAGTATGGATATGAAACATTTAACTGTGGAGACAAAAACTAAGATACATGACTGGGAGTCACCTGACAGTGATAAAGACTTGGAATCAGATATAAATAAGAACAGTTACGCAAAGATATCTAAATCAGCACTTCAAATAAAAACAAGTACTACAAAGGGGAGTATTGAGTCCCCAAATACTACAGACCTTAATAGAACTGCTGACAAGAGCACTTTTTCAAACACAAGAAATTATGGCAATCAGTCACCAGAATTTGACAACATGGAAAAAGAGTCAAAGACCTATTATTCAGACGTGACTCCTCTATGGCATTTACAGAATGACTTTGCAACACCAAAACTTAGCCGTTCAGAGTCAGATTTCTCAAAATTGTGTCAGTCTTACTCTGAGGATTTTTCAGAAAATCAGTATTTTAGCAGAACAAATGGCAGTTCACTGTTGTCTTCCTCTGATCGAGAACTTTGGCAACGAAGGCAAGATGATTCTGCAAACTGGTACGGCAGTTCCCAGGAACAGACTTTTGTCCAAGATATGCAACAGTATCCAGAGCAAAATGAGGTAGAGAACGCAGAAACTGTTGACAGTGGAGTAAGCAATGGAATAGTATGTGCATCCGGAGACAGGAGTCATTATAGTGATTCTCAGCTTTCTTTGCATGATGATCTTTCCCCATGGAAAGACTGGAATCAGTTGGAACAAGGGGCAGATTTGGGCCTAGACTCATCCACACAGGAAGTTTTTGTGTACGATATGAGCAGCCCTTCAGATCAGCAGACAGATTTTGGAAAGTGCCAAAGTTCTGACCTCCAGTATGATACGGAAAGCTATGATTTTACCCTTGATGGTACTTCTCCATCATGTCCGGGACTCGATAGCGAATCACAAAGTCAGTGGACTAGTCAATATGATGATTATCAGGAAACTAATTCTCTCTCCTCTTACCAGAATCAAAACAGATTGCCTATGATGTATCGAAGTCAGAGTGAACTACCAAGTGATGACTCAGAAGAAACAGCCCCCAAATCATGGCATAGCCGATTAAGCATAGATCTTTCTGATAAGACTTTCAGCTTTCCTAAATTTGGATCTACACTTCAACGCGCTAAGTCTGCTTTAGAAGTAGTCTGGAACAAAAGTACACAAAGTTTAAGTGGGTATGAAGACAGTGGATCATCTTTCATGGGAAGGTTTAGAACTTTATCTCAGTCTACTGCAAATGAATCAAGTACAACACTCGATTCTGATGTTTATGCTGAGCCTTACTGTTACAAAGCAGAGTATGAGGAAGACTTAATTGAACCACCTGGTGAGAATGAAACAGACTACGTAGAAGTAATGGAACAAGTCCTTGCTAAACTAGAAAATAGAACTAATAGTAGTGAAACTAGTGAGCAGGTCCAAGAATATGAACTGGTGCAGCCTTCATATGAAACTCCATATGAAATACTACCAGAGGAGCAATATGACACACAGTTTGACAGTGTGATCAGTGAAGAGATACTGGAAGTTGAAAGTGACACAGTTGCTGACATAGAAGTAAGGGAGGATGAAAATCAGAATGTCCCTGAGATGCTTACTGAAACTCCAAAGAAAAAAAGAATACGACCATCATTTAAAGAAGCTGCTTTAAAAGCATATAAGAAACAAATGAATGATTTGGAAGAAAAGATCCTTGCTGGAGGTAATAGTATTTTAATATTGTCTTTTAAGTAAAACATTGTTGGATGTTAATTTTTGATCCTCCTTCCGCTGAATTTGGTGACAAAAATTCTGCCTATGTCTGGTCTTGTTCCCAGGGTGAGATAGTCCAATGGAAGCCAAAAGGCTAATATTTTACAAGTCTGTTTTGAAGGAATTTTCTGAATATATTTAGTCAAACATGTTTATAAGCAATCGTGCTGCTTTGAATTTCATTAACTTGAAAATTAAATTTCACAAGACTTAAATCCTATAAAAATAACTAAACAGTACACTCTTCATGGTTTTCTTATAGCTTTATAAATTTATTCACAGGAGTAATCCAGAGTGTTCAGATATTACAGTGCTTTGTTTAACAGTTTTCAAGGCATGATGAGGGTAGTGATGCACTGGAACAGGTCACCCAGAGAAGTTGTGGATGTTTCATCCCTGGAGGTGTTCAAGGCCAGGCTTTGAGCAACCTGGTCTAATGGGAGGTGTCCATGGCAGGGGGGTTGGAACTAGATGATCTTTAAGGTCCTTTCCAACCCAAACCGTTCTGTGATTCAATATTCATCCTGATGAGTGCAGTGTTTTGCAGCCTGTATGCAACCTATAACTTGTCACGTACTTGTAAGAGTGCAACTCTAAACTGATTTTAATCCTGTTCTTAGCTGTACTCCCAATGAGCCTTCAAACAAGTAGTCAGTCCTAAAAAAGGGGAAGAGAAAGGGTGGGGAGGAAAGAGAAGTGTAAATGGTAACATCCTTGTATGAAGGGGTGGTAGAAAGGAACTTCACAGAGGGTGTTGACACAGATTTATTCGTGATGTTTATCTTCTCTGTTAACACACTTCAAAGCAGACAGTCATATACATAAATAATACCTCTAGTAATATACAAATATGGTGATTTTCAATATTAACATATATTGTAATGCTAACATTATAATGTTCCATGTGCATTTAATTGGGAGCACATAATTACCATAGCTAGCCAGATGGTAATTGTCACCTTGACTGAATCTTTGCTTCCTTTATCTGCCTTGAAAAAAATAATCACCTCATACATTCAGTTTAAAGATGAAGAATTGTGCCAAAGGTCATATTTAGTAGTAATGGGCATTCAAAGCTTGAGCTACTATAAAGTTTCTTTTGTATATGGTCAACTACTTTTACAATAAACTCATAGTCAGGTTGAAAGTATGATATACAAGCAATTATATATTGCTAATATGAAAGTTTTCTTTAAAGTCAATTTTTACATTCAGCTAATAGCAGGAGATTGTAGATTTTCCATTTCCAGATATTTTTCTACAGTACTGTGTTAGACACTAGATGGTGTATGTATGAAGAAACATCTGGCAATAATTAGTATTTTCATGACTTTTTCATGATTTTTTAAGGCATGGGAGCAGGAGACCAGAGTCATTTTACCTACTCATTGTTGTACAATAAGAATATAAAGGTCTGAGGACCTAATTAGAGAAAGCACACTGGGAAGATCCAAAATAGTGAACCCCAAATTCATTCTACTATTTAAAGTCTGTCCATTGGTATGGATTATTAGATAACATAAGCTGTTTAGAAAATGAGAGCTAACTTCGGTATTACATCCAATGTGATCAGTTCTAACAATTAGTTTGTTCTTCCTTTAACCCAATAGGTGAAAGACCTCTTTTAGTCTCTTAGTTTATTGCATTTTTTTTCTTCTGAATTACCAAAGCATTTCTTATAGTATATTTACAGAGAAGCCAATTTGCCCCAAAGAAGGTTTCTGAAAATGTGTTATTTGGTGTAGTCTATGGGGCATAAAGTGTCTGCATGGTTATAAGATGTCAAACTAGGACCTGCAGTTTTGTTCCCACTTAAAGGAGAGAGGAATACAGCAAGAAGGTAAAGGGAATTCACAGATGAATCGCTGGAACAACTCTACTTCTCAGATTATTCTGAAAACTGTATGTGTTGACTGTTGAATAACAGTTCTGTTTTGTTTTCATACTTAGTCTTCCAGCCCAACAGGGAGGACGTGTTTCAGTAGGGGCTTCTGCCTCAGCAGTCACTAACTGGTTAGTTACAAATGTATGTTCAGGTCCTGTAGCGTACCTGACAATACTTATTAACCAAACAGTCTTTCATGTTTTATATCTAATGGATGAATACTTTACCTTTTAATGTATGCAGAACACCTAACAATTCTTCAGAATCTTTCAAAATATATTTCCTAGCCGGAGTAGTCTACTAAAAGAATACATTACATGAAAAACTACTTCTGCTGAGTGACATGCACTATTATTGCAGTCAAATCTTTCATGATTTTACTTTCAGTGAGCTGGATGACTGATATTATAGACAGTCTATTCACAGATAATGTAATCTCTGGCCTTGGAGATATTCAAAAGCCGGAACATTGTCCTGGGCAGTCTGCTCTAGGTGACCATGCTTGAGCAGGGTTGTTAGATGGGATGGCATCCAGAGGTACCTTCCACTCTCAACTGTTCTGTGATAAGGAAATACATTTTTTGAATACTTTGTATGCAGTCCTTGAAGAAGGCTATGTTCTTAATGTCTGTTTGTTCTTTACAGAAAACATTGTTTAACTTCTGTTTTACTTGAATTGCATGGCAATTTTGATTTAGTGTAGGAAACAACATTTTGTAAATCAGGTCATAAAGGAGTTCTACAAAACACACAAAAGGTACAGTTTGTAGCCTCTCAGTTTTCATATCCTGCACTCTCTTCTTTACATGTGGACTCTTGCATGTCCAGAGAATACTTAATTTATCATTTAAGTAAATAATAGTTTTGGGAATTATATTTTCTTTTCAATATTTGAAGGAGCAGTAATAATTATAAAGAAAAGTCACTAATAGGGTTTACATTACTTTTATGAGTTACTTTTTTCTATCTTACCTCTACAACTGATTCACAGTCAACTTCTAAATTCTTATTTGCAGATGGAAAGGTACTATTTGCAGATCAAGTTCCTTGAATTAATCCTCATTATATAACCAAAGCATAGTCTATTTTTTAATGAATTGTTTCATCTCTCATGTAGGCAGGAACAGGTAAACAGTAATCTGGCCAACCAGAGATATAGCCAGGTAATACAGTAGTGTTATTTCTTCATTTTAGTACAAAAGATGCCTCTATTTTCATTCTAGTAACACATGAATTAAGGTCATTGAAACTTTGCTATATAAGTAATTTCTTAGTGCACAAGAGGCCTATCACATAGTCTTATTCTCTGTCTCTAGCTGGAGAGAAACAATACGCTATGGGCTGATTGCTTAGGTATTCTTTATTACAACTTGGTTTGGGAGATATTCTGGTGTGAAAGTCATAAGGTATGTGGATGAGAGGAGACATGAGCAGTATAGGAGTAATCCTAGGATTTAAAGTTCTGCAAGGACATAGAGGCATTGTGATGATGCATGTATATTAATGGAAGGATTGAAGGCTTTTTAAGAAAATATCAGAGAAATGCTAGCCAAAGGTTTGTTTCTTTGTATGCTGTAATTGAGAATAACCCTTTTATTTATTGTTCCAGTCCTCACTTCTTATTTTCTAGCTTTCCCTAGTGGTTTCTTTCATTCCATCTCTATCTTGTTATCTTTTACAGGTGCCTTAGAATAAGCATCATTCTCTCTCCTGATTAAAGTATTACTCTGGATAAGTGTCCAGAGTTGCATGCACACTTCTGAGTTGCTTTTAATGATAACATTGACTCTTTCTATGAATGGTAGTTTGCAAGCAATAGCTTCTTGATCTTAGCTGATGAAAACGAACCATCCCAAACCACTTATTTTTAGAGAATGACTTCCTTTTTTAGGAAAAGTAATTCATTAAAACTGCTAGTTTCAGTCATAGAAAAAGAAAGCCTCTACTACTTTTCTCCTTTCAAGAACAGGAGACTGTTATACACAATTTTCATTGACTTTGGAATTAATGCAGATTGATTAATATTAATGAAATTTGCTAATTATTTTCTATTTTTATTTATAAAACATTTAAGCCTTTTCTTTATATCATTGTATTTTAAAAGGACAAATAACACTGTGTCATCTTCCAATGTAGCTTCAGGATAAAAGCAATCTTATTAAAGCAACTGGCTGAAAAAATACCTAGACATGCATTTAAAAAATTTAATGACTTGGAAAACATGAGTTCGTAAATATGCTCAAATTTTCCTCTGATCTATTGGGGAAGTAGAATATTAAAGTAAAGTGTGGAACTAAACAGAGTCTCTGTTTTGCTGCCAAAGCAAAATTCTGGACAGGTGCCAGACTCTTTCTGCGCATTTTCCAGGTGATCAGTGGAGCACCCACACAGTTGTGTTTCCCTGGGACTCTAAATAGGAGAAAATAGCTGAAACCTCTCCAGTTCCTGCTGATGCAAAAATTATGGTTAAAACTGATAAAACTTTGTCAAACAGAAGATTTACCTCCTTAATCAGTGGACAGTATTCATAAAATAACTTACATGATCAGAAGTTTTAGTAAACTTGAAAATTAAGACAGGATTGATATATAAATCATTCTAGCAAAAACCCCATAGATACATGCATGGAAACCTGTGCTTTTATATTGTTTTATACAGATAATTTTTGTAAGAGAATTTTCTTCTGCACTTGCCTTGTGTAAAACTCTTATTCACTCTGCTGAAAATTGTACTAATTGTCAGATTAAAACTTACGTAAAGAGAGGTTTTTCCAGGTAGCCCATGTTTCCTAATTGTGTTGCTGATAGAACTGTTTAAAAATGTCTTTGATACAATTGTTAAGGATATGGTGTATAAAAAGGTACAAGTTAACTGGAAAAAAATTTAAAAAAAGAAAACCTTGTTGAACATAGAAAAGACTGTGATCTGTTTTCATGATACAAATTTTGGTAAAGAGCAAGCTGCTGACTGATATGCTAGTAACTTCTCTGGAGCCAACTACTGAAACTAGTTGGACTTGTTTATGTCACTGGAATCTGAGATGTGATTTTTGACTCTGATGCTTA